ATTCCAGAGCCCAGCAGGTCGAGGCTGCGGTGGCCGGGAGCAGCCACTGCACTCCAGTCTGGGCAACAGAGTAAGACTCCAACTCAAAAGAAATAATAAAAAAAATAAAAGGATAATAGCGTCTCACACCATTGTTTGATGATCATAAAATATGTTAGAGTGTCTCTAAAATACACACACACACACACACACACACACACACACACACACACACACACACACAAACGCACACACAACACCCACCACAAAATGTTCCTTTTATATCTGGTAGCAGTTTTTGGTTTTGTTTTTGTATTCTTTTTTTTTTTAGGCACATGATATTAAAATGTTTTAAAATACGTTTACTTATTTTTATTTCCCAGTATTTTATATACTGTTTTCTTAAAATAATTTTCTTAAGGTAATTCCATTAAAGAATATTTCATATTTAGATATTAAAAAAGCACTTCTTGTTCTAAACAAAGCTTGCAGATATACATTTGAACTCAGCAGTTAAAACAAAATTATTTATCCAATATCAGCTTAAACTTTAGGCCATTTCAAGTAGTTGCATAAGCTTGGAAATTAAAATTCATAATAACTCCAAACTTTTGCCTTTAGAATCAAATTGGTTGGACTTACTTTTTTCCTTTCTTCCCTTTTTCCCTTTCTTCCCTTTCTCCCCTTCTCTTCCCTTCCCTTCCCTTCTCCCCCTTTCTTCCTTTCTTTCATCTGAGTCTTACTTTGTTGTCCAGACTGGAGTACAGTGACACAATCACAGCTACCACACCTTTGACTTACTGAACTTAGGCGATCCTTTCACCTCAGCCTTCCAAATAGCTGAAACTACAGCCTCACACCACCAAACCTGGCTAATTTTTTGATTTATTATAGAGATGAGGTCTCACCAAGTTGCCCAGGCTGTTCTCGAAACCCTGAGCTCAGGCAATACTCTTGGTCTCAGCCTCCCAAAGTGCTGAGATTATAGGCATGAGCCACCATACTCAGCTAGTTGGACTTTCTCAGCAGCTTGTTTTCTCTGACAGTACATGTGACCGGAATGTCCCCTTTAGCTCCCAGGGCAGAGTAAATCATGCACGTTTACCATTAGTCTCTTTTTAAAATAACAGCTTTGAGATATAACTTACATGCTATAAAATTCACCACCATCACCCTTTTTTTTTTTTTTTTTTTTGAGTCTGAATCTCACTCTGTCTCCCAGGCTAGAGTGCAGTGGCACAATCACAGCAACCACAACTTCGACCTCCTGGGCTCACACAATCCTTCCACCTCAGCTTCCTGAGTATCTGGGACTATAAGTGTACACCACCATGCCTGTCTAATTTTTAACAAATTTTTTTTGTAGAGACAAGGTCTCACTCTGTTGCCCAGGTTGGTCTCGAACTCTTGGGCTCAAGCAGTCCTCTCTCCTCGGCCTCCCCAAGTGCTGGGATTCAGGCATGAGCCACTGTGCTCGTCCTGAATTCACCCCTTTAAAATACAATTCTCATGACATTTAGTACGTTTACAGAGTTGTGCAATCATTACCACTGTCTATCTATCTAGCACCTCAAAAAGAAACTCCATACCCATTAGTGGTCATTCTTCCTACCCCCAACTCCTGGCATCCACCAATATATTTTCTGTCTTTATGGATTTAGCTATTCTGACTTTTCTTATAAATGGAATTATACAGTATATGACCTTTTGTGACTGGCTTTTTTTTACTTAACATAATGTTTTCACGGTTCATCTATATTGTAGCATGACTCAGTACTTCATTTTTATGGTTGAATCATATTTCGTTGTATGGGTAATACTCCATTTTGTGTATCCATTCATCAGTCTTGAGGGACATTTGAGTTGTTTCTACATTTTTGGCTACTTGAAATAATGCTGCTTCAAAGCATTAGTGTGTAAGTTTTTGTGGGAGCATTGTTTTCATTTCTCTTGGGTGTATACACAGGAGTAGAATTGCTGGGTCATGTGGTAACTGTGTGTTCATCCTTTGGAGAGACTGCTAAACTGTCTTCCAAAGGGGCTGCACCATTTTACCTTCTCATCATTGGTGTATGATGGGTCTAATTTCTCCATGTCCTTAGCAACATTTGTTGTATTCCACTTTTTTGCTGTGACCATACTTGTGGATATGAAATGATTTTGATTTGCATTTTCATAATGACTAATGATGCTAAACATCTTTTCATGTACTTATTGGCTATTTTCTTTGGAGGAATATTTATTCAAATCTTTTGGTCATTTTAAAATTGAGTTATCTGTCTTTTTATTGACCATTAGTCTTATTAGACTTTTTTATTAGTCTCCTTGGTATGGCTTTTGCACTTAATTGAAATTGACCCCATTTGATTAAAGTGGGCCTTCGTGGTGCCATTCTTTCATGAGGAGATAGCTTATACAGTGATTTTTAGTTTAGTCCAACAAATCAGTAAATGCTTAAATTCCTTGTGTGTCCTGTTCCATGTGGGTCACTGTGGAGGCTGCTCAGTCAGTAGTGAATTAGTACTTGCCTTTAGGGGCTCATAACCCAGTTGGGAGAAACAATGTAGATGTGTGAGATGAGAAAATGATAGACTGTGCTGCACCCTTGCTATGCCCCTGTAGACCAGATGTGCAGGTTGCAGAACCCAAGAAAGAAAGGCTTACTGTGGGGTGGGGTGGAAAGGAGAGGCTTCATGAGGTGTTCAGTTTAAGCAGTGAAAAATGGGTATTATTCATATAAGTGGTCAAGACACATGTAGTAAATACCATGAAAAAGATTTTGAGAAGATCACTTGGTTGATGTGCAGAATGGAATAGTAGAAAATAGAAAATAGAAAAGAAGGAGTAATAGTGTAACTCAAGTCAGGTATGATGAGGATCTGGAATACTAGGGTGATGGGAATAAGAACAACAAACCGGGAGACAATGCTAGAATTGTATATTTGAAAGTGGGGAAGAAAATAATATCAGTGATAGCAGCTATTACATATATGTTGGTGCAGATCCTTGATGTATTTTAGCTCATTTAATCTTCACAATAATTCCATTGGGTACTTTTATTATCTCCACTTTACAAATGAGGAAACCGAGAGGTTCAGTAACTTTCCCAGGACTGCCCAGAAGCAGTAGAGCTGGGATTCAAACTCAGAATTGAAACGCACTGTTGTGTGTTAAGGGGAAAGGCCAAGGTTTCTCCAAGTTTTAGAGCCAATATTTCAAAGGATAGCCGCTGAGCTGTGTTTGAGTGTACTCTAGACTTTATTGAGCACCGACTAGTAAAGTGTTTCTTGTAAACATTGTTACTTTTTTTGTTAATAATCCTACCTCTTGCAGTTGCCCTTTTTTTGATAGTCTATATCAAAAATCCCTTCATGTAAAAGTTCTCATTTTAAAAACACTTTCAGGAATATGACCGAATATTAAATTTAAGAAGATATTTTGGTGTTTTAGTGACAGGTTTTTTTTCTTTTCTTGTCTTTCTTTTTTTTTTTGAGTTGGGGGTCTCATTCTGTTGCCCAGGCTGAAGTACAGTGGCACAATCACTGCTCACCACAGTCTCGACCTACTGGGCTCAGGCAATCCTTCCACCTCAACCTCTCAAGTAGCTAAGACTACAGGTGCACTCCACCATGCCTGGCTAATTTTTTTCTTACTTTTTGTAGGGATGAAGTGTTGCTATGTTGCCTAGGTTGGTCTTGAACTCCTGGGCTTAAAAGATCCTCCTGCCTCCATCTCTCAAAGTACTGGGATTACAGGTGTGAGCCACAGCTCCTGGCCAAATGTCAGTTTTCTTTCTGTGGTCTTATGTGTGTATTCTCCATCTCCTCATTGTTACCACCAATGTATAACAACAACAAACGGGTGTAATTTTTATAAAAGTCTTGTAAGAGGCTAACATTTAAACTTTGAAAAGTAATCTTCAGGCTCATTAAACAGCTTAATGTTTGTTTCCAAAGTCCTAGCCTCCAGCTTGGTCTATAATATTTCGGACGGTCAGTTTACGAGTCGTGCAGATCTCATAGATGCTGCTGGAAGCTCACTGGGGCGTGGTGCTCTTGTACCAGGATTGGGTAAGAAATAAATGCACACGTTTCCTTGGAAAATTTAAACTTTCAGCAGATTTCTCTTGAAAATCTTGCCAATTCTCTGTGACATTTTAGTTTCCTTGAAAAGAAAGAAAGTTTTTATACTGTTTAATTTTGGAAATCAATATAAGAAATTGCCATATGTAAGATTCCTCTGAATAAACTGCTATTAAAGATACTGTCCATTAGGTTGTGTGATGATGCTATAATAAATCCTCAGAGTTCATGCCATTAAAAGTTTTATTTCCTGTGAGGAATTGTTATGCTTGTTATTGTTTGAAAATGAACATTATATAATATTCTCTTTGCCCTGGCTGGTAGGAAGCTTATGTCTAAGTTTTGGGCTCAGTTACTAGGGCCTTTTATAGTGTGTTGATGTTAATTGGTCCTATTATACCTGGGTTTTTAACATAAACCACTTAAATCCTTTTTGAAAGTGGGTCCCATATAAATCAGTTACTGAAAACTGTCTATTCTGTGAGACTTATTCCTTCTCACGTAGGAGTTAAACAAAATTAAAAATTAAATTCTGGCTCCTTGTTGAGCCCCAATCTAGTGCTTTGCCAAGTGAATCTATTGGAATGGAGATGTAGATTGTCAACAATAGAGAGAATCCTTGCCCTTCCATTTTTTACCAGTGCTTGTGAGAAATATGTATTCAAGGCAGATGATGACATGACAGTTGAATAAAGTGTGCTTTTTTTGCAGGTGCCTGTTATGATACAGTGAACAATATGCTGTGGACGTGCTCAAATGACTATATTGATCAGTGGTGTAATCCTGGGAATCAAGCCTTCCATTATGTCTGCCAGAGACTTGGAGTCAGCCACATTATCACTGAGCCCAAAGGTGAGGTACACTTGTGGTCTTTCAGGAAGAGATTCTCCCCCCAAATATGGGCGAATACAGCAGCGTTAGTAGGTGGGAACATAGACCAACACCAAAATGTGTTACCAGCTTCCCTTTTTAAACTTAGAAACCTAAAATCTTTTGTTATTTGTAACCCTGAAAGATAAGTTTATGATTAAGTAAATAAGTAGGTAAATAGGGCTTTTTTTTTTTTGAGTCAGAGTCTCACTCTTGTCACCCAGGCTGGAGTGCAGTGGCATGCTGCTCATGGCCACTACAGCCTTGACCTGCTGGGCTCTGGTGATCCTTCCACCTCAGCCTTCCAGGTAGCTCAAATCAACACCTGGCTAATTTTTTGATTTATTGTGGAGATGAGGTCTTGTTATGTTGCTCAGACTGGTCTCAAACCCCTGAGCTCAGGCAATCCTCTTGCCTCCGCCTCCCAAAGTGCTGGGATTACAGGCTTGAGCCACTGCACCCAGCCGTAAATAGAGCTTTTGAGGTTGTCCATAGACTTTTTTAAAGGAAGCTTGGTATGTCCCTCTTGAAATTTTCAAAACTTTGATGTAAAATTTGATTATTTGTATTTGGTATGGGGTTATATACTGTTATAATGTTTTGCATTAATAATGACTTACTTATACACAGACTTATAGTTAGATATAGTTACCAATAAAGGACCTTTGTATTTCTTTTTTTTTTTGAGTTGGAGTCTCACTCTGTCGCCCAGACTGGAGTGCAGTGGCCGCTCCCGGCCACCGCAGCCTCGATCTGCTGGACTCCACCGATCCTTCCACTTCAGCCTTCCAAGTAGCTGGAACTACAGATGTGCTACCACACTCGGCTAATTTTTGATTTATTGTAGAGATGAGGTCTCGCCAAGTTGCCCAGACAGGTCTCGAACCCACGGGCTCAGGCAATCCACTCACCTCAGCCTCCCAAAGGCGCAGGATTAAGGCTGAGCCACCGAGCCTGGCTGACCTTTGTATTTCTTAATACTAATATGAACATTCTTAATATTAAGTAAATATTAACTTAAAATCTTGTGACTTTCAAGTCAACTATATTAGTTTGAAGGAATTAATCACTCAACAAGTCTTCTCCCCATAAAGCAACACTAGAACAGAAAATTATCAAAACAACTATTTCTAGGCTCTAGAAATTGGCCAAGGCATACACCAAATTTCTTAATACTAATATGAACATTCTTAATATTAAGTAAATATTAACTTAAAATCTTGTGACTTTCAAATCAACTATATTAGTTTGAAGGAATTAATCACTCAACAAGTCTTCTCCCCATAAAGCAACACTAGAACAGAAAATTATCAAAACAACTATTTCTAGGCTCTAGAAATTGGCCAAGGCATACACCAAATTGAGAGTGGCTATTAATTTAAAAAACAATGAACTTTGGGTAGGACAGTAGAAGTCTGTGGTGTTCTTGGCTGGGACTGCTCCTATTACCCACCTCAAGCTTGATCGCCTGAGCCCAGCAGATGAAGGCTGCGGTGGCCGGGATTATGCCACTGCCCTCCAGCCTGGGCAAAAGAGTGAGACTCCAACTAAAAAAAACAGACCAGTGACTCAGCTGGCCTGAGAGCTTGGTTAGGGCAAGCAGCGGACCAGCAATAGCTAGAAGTTTAGTAGTGAGATGTGGAGAGTAACAAAGCTTTCGGTGACCTTGGTAAGCTCCTCATACACCTACCTGCACAGAAGAGACCTGAGAGAGCCCTGGCTGTTCACACATCTCTGAGTAAACATGAGCCTGCCTACGTATGCAAAGATGTGAGAGGGCCCAACAGAAAGTAAAAATCAGAGTTTAAAACTGCCTGAACTTTGATGTGCTTCCCCCAAAACACACAAATCTGTCCAGGGTGAAAGTGTTACTGGCTCAATTTGTTAGAGTACAACCTCTGACTAATCATTGGTTGACAACCAGTAAGGAATATAGGGAGGGGTGACCCCAAGGAAGCCAGGCTTAAAAATAAAAACAAGAATAATAAAAATAAAAGAAAAAATAAATAAAGAACTGAGCAAAGAAATCAGTAACCATATAAAGTAGGGGAAACTCAAATGTTAGACTAATGATTGTAAAGTCAAATAAACACTTAAAGCAGTCATTATAAACATATTTAAAGGGTGAAAGGAATCTAAGTTTTACAAATTAAAGGAAAGTACAAAGACTATGATTAAACAAATAAGAGAATTTCAGTAAAGCAATTTTTTTTTTTTGAGTTGGAGTCTCATTCTGTTGTCCAGGATGGAGTGCAGTGGCTACCGCAGCCTCAACCTGCTGGGCTCGGGCGATCCTTCTGCCTCAGCCTTCCAAGTAACTGGAACTATAGACATGTGCTACAACACCTGGCTAATTTTTTGATTTATTGTAGAGACAAGGTCTCACCAAGTTTACCAGACTAGTCTCAAACCCCTGAGCTTAGTCAATCTTCTCGCCTCAGCCTCCCAAAGTGCTGGAATTACAGGCTTGAGCCACCACGCCCAGCCAGCAATTATTTTTTTAAATGAACCAAATGGAAATTCTGGATTTGAAGAGTGTGATAACTGAAAAGAAAAATTCATTAAGAATGTTTTAACAGCAGTTTTGAGATGGTAGGAGAAATAATCATTAAATTTAGGATGTAGATTGATAGAGCTATGCTATCTGAAGAACAAAAAAAGACACTTTTAAGGAATACTGGTGAGGCATCTTAGAATGTACTTCCTTTTGGGTTCATTTGATGTTTTCTCATGATTAAACTGAGGTTATGGATTTTGGGGAAGAACACGACAGAGGTGATATCCCCTTCACATTATATCATATTCCAGGATACACAATATCAACAAGACTTATTACTAGTGATATTAAAATTGATCACTTGGTTTAAATTATGTCTACAAGATTCTTCCACTACAAAGTTACCAGTTTTCCCTTTCCTTATTCTGTTTTGTAGAAGTAAGTCATTAAATCTATACCACACTCAAGGGAAGGGGAATTAAACTCCATTTCCTGGAAGGAAGAGTATCAGAGAATTTGTATATATGTTACTCATCAGTAATTAGTAAATTTTGGGGGAAGAGTGGTACTTTAAGGCTATGCAACTATCTACTCTTGTTTTCTATTTCTTCTTGAGTTAGTTTTGGTAACTTGTGCCTTTCTGGAAATGTGTGCATTTTATCTAGATTTGCTTATTTGTTGATGTAAAGTTGCTCATAGTATTTCTTTATAATTATTTTAATATCTGTAGGGTTAGTAGTAATTTCTCTGCTTTCATTCTTAATTTTGATTTTTGTATAAACTTACTAAAAATTACTGAATTGTCCACTTAGACTGGATGAGTTATTTGGTATGGAAATTATATCTTGATAAAACTAGAGAAAGAACCAGCAAAAAGAAGATAGTCAGTTATATATTAGTGACTCCTAAGCCTCTTACCTGAACTCTAGACTATGTATTCACCTTCACTTGCTTATCTAATTGGCATTTTCAACTTAACATGTCAAAAACAAACTTTATATTTCTCTTCCTCTCCAAATCTGTACCTACTGAGTCCTCTATATTTCAGTATATGAATCCCCATTCTTTCATATGACTGGATTGAAATATTTGAATTATCTTTGACTATCTCTCTCTCTCTCACAACCCACATTCAAATGGATATCAACAAATCCTGTCGGCTCCTACCTTCAAAATATATGCCAAATCTAATAATTTCCCACCAGCCATGCTGCTACAACTCTAGACTGAGCCATCATTGTCTTCACCTGGATTATTGTATCAGCTCAAAGGTCTTTCTTCCCCTATAGTTGTCCTCCTCCACTCCAGCTTGTCTCCATTCAGCAGTCAAGGAGTCTTATAGCCTAAGTAGTCAGATATGTCCTTCCTCTGCTCAGATATCTTCACTAGCTCCCCATCTATGTAGAACACAAAATCAAAGCCGTCATTTATTTCAGTAGGTTCCAAAGTTGGCTTTCAAAAAGTTTTTGGTGGAGATGAGCAGGACTTACCTGAATTCTACTGTCAAGTCTAAAGACACCACTGGACACAGTGGCTGACACCTATAATCCTAGTGCTTTGGGAGGCCAAGGCAAGAGGATTGCCTGAGGCCAGGAGTTCAAGACCAGTCTGGGCAACATAACAAGACTTCATCTATACAATAAATCAAAAAATTAGCCAGGCATGGTGGCACACCATGTAGCTGTAGGACCAGCTACTTGGGAGGCTGAGGCAAAAGGGATCTCCTGAGCCCAGCAGGTTGAGGTTGCGATAGCTGTGAGTGTGCCACTGCACTCCAGAGTGAGACTCCAACTCAAAAAAAAAAAGACTAAAGATTCACAAAGCACAGAAAAGAGTGGAACCCATTCTGACCCTAGGATTAATACACAATAAAAAAGTTTCATTTTGGCCAAGTCCATGTTCTCTTTGGTTTTCCTTGAGTCCTGTCCTCATCGTTCCCAGTGCCCACAATCCTTCTATAGCTCTAAGGACCCCCAACTCAGTCCTCCTTCTTCAAGATGATCTATTTTCCCATTTCTTTTAGGCAGTTCATTTCAACTGGTTTTATGGGGGGAAAAGCAATCTTTTTTTTTTTTTTTTTTCAGTTGGAGTCTCATTCCGTCGCCTAGGCTGGAGTGCAGTGGCACACTCATGGCCACTCCAGTGTTGACCTGGTGGGCTCCTGCAATCCTTCCGCCTCAGCCTTCCAAGTAGCTGGAAACACAGGCATGCACTGCCATGCCCAGCTAATTTTTGATTTATTGTAGAGACGAGGTCTTGTCAAGTTATCTAGGCTGGATTACAGGCTGAGCCACCAAGCCCGGCCAAACAATCTTTTTTTGTACTTTGGCCATTTAGATTATTTTTTCCTCTGTTCCCTGAATATCTATAGCCATCCATGAAATGTTTATTATTATTTAAGAGGATGCTTGTCAACCCTTACAAGTTTAATTGATGGATGTCTAGGCTGTGATAACTAAGTGAGATTAAAATGTTAAGGTACTGTGGGAGGAGATATTGATGGACGGATTCTACTATAGAGCAGCCATAGAAGATAGATTTTACTAGAATAACCATTATAGAATAACTAGCATGGGCCATGGGCTGAGATGACCTGAATTCAAACCCCAGCTCTACCACTTCTTAGCTGCGTAACTTAGGGAAAGTTACTTAACCTCTCTGTCTCTTAGTTTACTGCTCTACAAAACAGGGCTGAAATAGTGTAAGTTTATAGCCATGTTGTAGATTAATGTATGTAAAGCATTTACCCTATCGTTCAGCATACAGAAAGAGTCCAGTAAGTGGCAGCTACTTATGATCTAAACACATGAACTCCCAAGTGTTTTCTTTTTTTGTTGTTGTTGGAGTCTCACTCCGTCTCCCAGGCTGGGTGCAGTGGCATGCTCACGACCACCCCAGCATCGACCTGCTGGGCTCCCGAGATCCTCCTGCCTCAGCCTTCCAAGTAGCCAGAATTACAGGCGTGTGCTACTATACCTGGCTAATTTTTTGATTCACTGTAGAGACGAGGTCTCACCATGTTGCCCAGGATGATCTTGAACCCATAGGCTCAGGCACTTCTCTCGCCTCGGTCTCCCAAAGTGCTGGGATTACAGGCTTGAGCCACTGCACCTGGCCCCCAAGTGTTTCAGCTCAGCATCTGCAGAAGGAGGGAGACAGTTTCTTTTTCTTTCTTTTTTTTTTTTTTTTGAGTTGGAGTCTCACTCTGTCGCCCAGACTGGAGTGCAATGGCCGCTCCCGGCCACCGCAGCCTCAACCTGCTGGGCTTCGGCGATCCTTCTGCCTCAGCCTTCCGAGTAGCCGGAATTACAGGCATGCGCCCGGCTGATTTTTTGATTTATTGTAGAGATGAGGTCTCGCTGCCCAGGCGGGTCTAGAATGCGCGGGCTCAGGCAGTCCACTCACCTTAGCCTCCCAAAGGCGCGGGATTACAGGCTGAGCCACCAAGCCCAGCTGAGGGAGACAGTTTCTTCAGCAGCAGTGAAAGAGGTTGTAGCCAAGGTGCTCTTTTGTTGTGTACATGCGCCTTTTGTAAGTCAGAGGTCTGTTCCTCGGGGACTACGTAGAGACATATTTCCTCATTGAGTTTTCTTTTTGTCTTCTAGAAGAGGCTATAACCACAAATGAGGTTATAAACCAATTATTGCACCACGTTGGTGCGATGTGCATACACCAACTCAATCTTCTTGCTACCAACCCCAATCTTCCAATCACAAGTGTCTTGGGCAAGCAGCATCCGATTGAAGCACATCATCTAAGCAGTATTTGTGATATTATGGAGAAGGCCATGGTTAATGGAGATACTTGTATTATACGCTGCGTTCTCGTTGTCTTTCAGGTAATTACACTGTTTTGATATAAATAAGGTGGTAGATAAAAAGAAACACAAACCTTGGCTTCAACCGCCTTCAACCAGAAGAAAAATTTGTTGACTTTCCTGTTTTGCACCTTACCACCTTGTAATTCTGTAATTAGAACTATCATGTTCATTGCTCTGCAGTTAATGGAGTATTGCTATATGTAGCTCACTGCAATTAATATATGCAAAATATTTACTATAATGATACCATTACACAATAGAGAAGATTGTAGTTTTAAAAATCCACCTGATTATTTATTCATAGAATATCCACCAAGTACTTTCTTCATAGGAATAATTTTATCCCCAGTAGCATTATCATTTTTAGATATGCTCCTTATGTTTCTGTAGGTGGTGTTTAAATTTTTCTTCAGCCCACAAACTGAAAGGAATCGAGACATCATTCGACGGTCGGGACTGCTTCTTTGGCAGTTGTTGATGGCACCAAAAGATCAAATTTGCCCTGAAATTCAGAAGGAAGTCTGCCTTGCCATCAGGTAAATAGCAGATGATTTTCATAGTGCTGTCTGCAAAGTGATTCTCCTATGAGGCTTTGTAATCTTCTTTGCAAGCTGGTAGCATAGATGTGTCTTACTGTATTCCATGGGCAGGACTTCCTGCATTGGGGATAATTTAATTGGAGAGGGGCTTGTGACCCTACCATCAAAGGACTAAAGCCAAAGATGCACCAGTATTTCTTTATTTTGGTTCTTAAAACAAAACAAAACAAAATCTTGAAGTGAATATTGTGATTGTGTGCAAGCTAATATTCTTTCCATTTGGAGACAGTGTGGTGGGATTGTTAAGAAACAGGCTTTGGCATCAGGCAGACCTGGGTTCTAGTCTTTGCCACTACTAACTGTGACTCTGATTTGAGGCTTCCAGTTCCTTAGCTGCAGGATAGTCGTAAAAGCAGCACCTGTTTTATGGGTCTGTGAGATTTTCCTAAAGTAAGGCCTGATTCAGAGTAAGAACTCAACAGTGTAATCCTTTATCAATCAGCTTACAACCTTGTCAGACAAGAGGGCAGAATTTATAGGGCATATTCTATTTATCGTTAATTGATTTTCTTTGCAGTTTGGTGAACTTTTATTCAGGAACATAACCTTAATATGACCAAGTATAATTTAGTGGCCAGAGAGAACTGAATGGTTGGTATGCAGGGTGAGCACAGATAACAGAGAATTGTTTATGCTTCTACAATAGATTATTCTTTGGATCTTTTTCTGTTGGGCATTAAGGCAATGATTAAAATATAGTGCTGTGAGGAAACTTCTGGGGGTAGGTGGGTATATTCACTATCTTGATTATGGTGATGGTTTTAGAGATGTATACATATGTCATACTTACCAATTTGTATGCTTTAAATATGTGCACTTGGTTGTATGTCCAACCTCAATTAAAAATAAAAGAAGGCCGAGTATGGTGGCTCACACCTATAATCCCAGCACTTTGGGAGGCTGAAGTAAGATGATTGCTTGAGACCAGGAGTTCAAGACCAGCCTGGGCAACATAGTGAGACTCCCATCTCTACAAAAGAAAAGAAACAAATTCTGATGCTGTTCGCAATATTGTTCTTCCTGCCCTTTGGAAAAGCTGAGAATTAGAAATTCCCTTTCTTAAGTTACTTTTTTGGGGTACAATCTGCTTATAGAAACTTGACTACTTTCACTTTTCATCACCAGTTCTACATCTAGCCCCAAATAAGTTATCATTTTAGTAATTCAGAGGAGGGGGGAGGAGAGGGATATCATTTGTCAGGGAAGTGATTGGACTGGATCATGAAAGTGAGTTTAGGTTCAAAGGCCTTTTTAATGATAAAACTTACTTCAGAGTTTTCTGTATTCAAATTGGCATCTTTAATAACAATAAATACTTAAATATTTAGAGTTTGGATTTTCTAGAACATTTGCTTAAAAACTTTTTGACTTTTCTGTCATTTCAGCTCTGGTTTAAATATCTTGTACCCAGGAGAAACTGAAATCAATAACTTACTCAAGCTGGTCTTAACAGAAGGTGAGAATTATCCTTTAATCATCCTTGAAACCATGCTTTTTTTGTCCCTAAGGAAACCACTGAATGTTAAGATAGTTAATACTTCTTTCTTCATATCTGTTAGTCAACATATTTTAAAAATGTATCTGCATATCTGCTAACACTCCATGCTTATATATCTTTAAGTTTTATAAACCTCTTTCTGTCTTCACTGTATAGCATAATGTATATGACTATAGATGTTTAATAAATGATTTTAAATAGTTAGAATCTAACTTTTTAAGTTAGACTAAACAACAACAACAAAAGGCACTGTGTTAAACACAGTCTGTATTTAAAATTAGCCTTAATTTATGGAATTAGAAATCACACTTTATGATATAAGAGGATAATTATACTTTGATCAGGATGCTGGCTTTAAAAATTCTGATTGGTTGTGATGTAGTTTTTGTACTGTTGTTTGTATAAGTCCATATGCTTGGTGCCCCTGGATTTTTGACCTTTTATTTATGGCATCAGTTTTCCAAGTGTCATTAATGGGATTGTTTATGAAACTTTGTTCTGTGGTAGGAGAGAGAAACAGTGGCCTCTCCCAACTGCGGGATGTGATCCTAACCAACTTAGCTGAACAGCTTCAAAACAATCGATTTGGCAGTGATGAGGATGATCATTACAGGTGACACCAGTTAGATTATTCATTCCTAGCCTTTTCTTTGTGTTCTTCTAAGCATTAACTGACATTTAATGTGTTTGATCAACTTCAGTCTCCTGTTATAGTAAATATGATCATTAACATGTTAAACTTGAAGCATGAACTTGTTGAAAGATAGTAAATTCTACGTCAGTTGCCCTCAGAACTGATAATAGCACATTTCAGTTTTATCAGTAAAGTAACTTGGGCCTGGCAAAAGGGTCCTTAGCAGAAATAATGGATGGAACATATCTAAGAGATCTTGGTTCAGAGGTCTTTGTTCAGGGTGTGATCCAAATTGCTGGTCTGTGAGAGACTGAGTATGTGTGTTAGAACTGGTGAGGGTTGGGAGCATGTTAGTTTTCTATGTTATTTATAAAATAATTTGACTAGGTGTTTGGGTGCTATTTCGTTTCTATATGTTTGATTTAGATAATATACCTAGTTGTTAGAATCATTACGAAGATAAATTTACTTGTAGATCCAATTAATTTTGTATCTTCTGTTTGTCATCTTGTACCAATTGTATAACATTTATCCTTTTGTAATCCATCAATATTTTATTGTTACATTTTTCCTGCATTTTAAAGACTAAATGATGAACTTTTACACTACATTCTGAAGATTGTTGTACGAGAATCCTGTATCTTAGTCACCAAGTGCCAAACTGTTTCTAAAGATGATTTTCAAAAGCTCCTTTCAACTGTGCCTGTAAGTAAAAATGTGTTCAATGAAAGCAAAATTATATGAAGCATTCCTGTTTTCATTTTACTATGTTGAGAAAGTGTGTGTATACAAACATACCTGCATACTCACTTTACAAATATAGACTTAGAATAATTTATGTAAGTCAATGGACTACTTACCCTGGAAAGGTAGAACTAGCCAAATCCCCTTGGAACACTTTTTCCAAAGACTTTATTCCCCCTGCATTAATTGTTCAATGCAATTATTAACCAAATTTGTGTGTTTTTGTTTAATATAGTAAGAGTTTTTTCCCCTACTAATTTTTAATTTATCATTGTTTTTTAAATCATCAGTATTTTATGGAGACTGATAGGAACCAAAAGATCTTTTAAGGGTTAGGTAGTCTTCTGTAATGGAGATGTGTGTGAGAGGGAGGAGGCAAGAAGAACTATTAAGAGGCAAAAATTCAAGTAAGTATTCTGAGTGATTAGTGAGGATTGCATAACAGAAGACAGAAAGTTATAGCAAATGTGTCAAAGTATAATATCAAAAGCCGTGTAGAAATAAGTCACCTGAGAAACTAACTTTGTCTTCTGTACTTTTTGTTTCCTTTGTCAAAATCTTTTAAAAACATGAGGATTACATGATTGCTCTTTCAGTAGGGTTTAGATCATTTAAATGCCCTTATTTGTATTAAAGGCTGCATCCTCCTGCCTGCGCTATCTGATGGCAGTTCAGAATCATCTTCTCAGTAACACTATTTTGATTAAACCTGATGAGAATGATGACAGTGACAACTCCTTGCAGGGAGAGACATTGAAGGTACAGGTAATCACCAAGCTTTATTTTAATGATGCTTTCTACCCAGTGTTTAAAGCAGCTTAATTGACTAAATTTCTGTGTATTATGATGTCAGAATTCACCTTGTGACTTATATTCTTGTGAGAGGTAATATTAGGCCACTCATCCCATAGATTTTTATGTCATTGCACAAAGTGGTCACCATATTTGTGACACTCTCATAACGTGTCATCCATGTGCTCCTGTCAATCTTTTTGTGCCTTTGTTTATTTCCATCTTCTTTTAAGAACTATAAAATATGGCACTTACAAGTGATCTCATATGCATCTGAAAGTTATATATATATATATAAATATATAATAAATCTATAAATAAATCTGGGAGCATAACATTTTAAACAATTTTGACATTTTTGGATGGTTTATAGTCCTGTGATTCAAAAAACTTTTAAAAGGTGATAGTTTTTCAATTTTTGTGTTGAATAATTTAATTTCTAAACCTATAGTTCATTTCATTTTCTGTAATTATTTCTAAATTAGCTTCTGTGTAAACTCAATAATTTGTTGCCACATGACAATTTATAGCAATCCAAAGATTTTTTTTATAGCTATGGCTGTTATAATTTTGACAGATGCTCAAGGCTGTTATTTGCATTGTTCTTCAGAATTTCATCTCTGTGGCAGAATTAGAGAAATCAATAAAAACTATATTCTTCCTAAAAATGTTTATTTAAATGCACTGAAAAATTAACTGAGGAGGCCATAGTTAAAGATAAAAGTCACTAGAGTTTGCCCTTTTCTTACTCATTTTTGCATACATACTATTTAAATCATATATCTGATTGTTTATATTTATGAGTTTATCACATTATATAATCAGTTTTCAAACAGGCGGACATGTGTGAGTTGTTTTTTTTTTGAGTCGGGGTCTCACTCTGATGCCCAGGCTGGAGTACAGTGGCATGATAACTGTGGCCTTGACCTCCTAGGCTCAGGTGATCCTTCTGCCTTATCCTCCCAAGTAACTGGGACTACAGACATGTGCCACCATACCTGCCTAATTTTTTTATATTTTATAGAGACAGAGACTCACTATGTTACCTAGACTGGTCTTGAACTCCTGGGCTCAAGTGATCCTCCCACCTTGGACTCCTAAAGTGCTCGGATGGATTTTTAATTTAAGTTTTTCATACTGTATACTTAACGTCTCTTGCCTTAGTTTCCTCATCAGTAAAAAGAGACAATAATATTTTCCTTGTAAGGTTACTGTGTGGACTAGCAACAGGTCGTATAAATACCTGGTACTTTGCTGTCACATGGTATAGAGTCAGTAGGTCATGTCATTGGTATGACTTAAAACAGGGTTCAGCTTGTCTAGCCCCTTCAGAGTTCCTTTTTCTTAATTATAAAAAATCTTAATACTAAAAAAGACCCAGAAAATTCCAACAGTGAAAAGGTTTTTTTTCTATTTGAAGGCTAAACTTTATAAATTAAAGTTTAATTAAAGTAATTAAACCATGATGAGAAATATAAAGACTCTTAGGAAGGGCCAAATAGGCTCAGTTTCTCTGGAGAAAAATTTGAAACACATAAATGTCACCTAAAAGAGTTAGTTTGATTGTATTTTTCAATAGAAAATAACTGTTAACTAAACATTTCTTAATGTTAACTAGTGTTTCTTAGCATATTTAGTATTTGTATGCCCATGAACTCTCAATAGTCATTTTTAATGTTTTATAGTCTGTAACTGCCACTTTAATTGAATTTTTAACTTGCCTGTTTTCAAGTGTAATGGGTTTATGACATGAAGTAAAAGGTCACTTGTATTGTTTCAGAATGTTATGTTTTTGTCTCATTTTATTCACCACCTATACATGCGCCTTTTACTGTTCTGTTTTTCTCTTTAGCTATCCTCATACCACCCAAGGCAATCTTCCACCTGGACAGTTTCTGGGCTGGCCACCAGGAGCTCTCTTGTGCTGGATGGGATGAGAGATAGGCCTTTTCTCCTAGGGACTCAGTGTGCTCCCTGTGAAATACTTTCTTTCGGCGTATTTCTGTCAGCACTCCAGACCTTGGCCTCCCAAATCAAATTGCTACTTGCCATGCTAGCAGAATTTGCTGCTTTGGGCTTATTCTGGCCACCTCATTATTTCATTTGGAAATGTATCATTAAATACATCATTTCATGTTGTCATTGTGAGTGTATGTTTATTACAGAACTTAAAAAATAATATTATGATATTTTCCACCTAGGAGCTAAAAGTCAGTATTTTGGCTCTTGCCACTCAAATCCTGACTGGATGTGATGAAGTGTTGGAAATGCTACAGCAGGTCACAACTGCCCTCATAAATAGTGACATAGCAGACCGTGAGCAGAGGTGAGAAATGGATTGTGGACCATGACCTGCTACCCTTCAGAAAGAAAAATTTGCTTATGAAAGTGAAATCTTTTTAGAGTAGAATATAAGGGATTCATTTAACAAAGAGGGATTTTTGTGAGAATAGGTTGAAATGGCAAGTGTTTCAAAGCCAAGTGCTATGTAACTCTTCAATGTGCTTTTAGGTAGATTGGGCCCATGGCCATGATCTAGGAGTAGCAACAACCATGATCTAGGACAGCCTCATCTCTGATGCTTGGTACTTCTGTCATCACTCCCAATTGACCTTTCCTTTAATTATCAAGCTCAGCACCATGCACACTTAGTTTCCTCAGGAGACACACTTTCAGGAGGAGGAAGTCAACTTAGTGATACATATAGTCATCTGCTACACAAAAGATGACACTGACGTGATATTTGAATATTTTACTGTCATTTTACTTCTCCGTATACATGAGTGACCTATTTAGAGGTCATTTCTCTTTCACAGTAATAAAGACCTCTCTCAGCCCTTCACATTATAATTTCTGCCATGGCTTGCTTTTAGAGATGAGTTGCATACTGTGTTTTTTGACAATTTGGATGTTAGAGATGTTGATCTAAAACAATCTTGCAGTGTAATTTTTGCTTCAGCACCCGTGTCTTGTTCCCATGGCCTTGGTTCTTGCCTACTCCCAGATAGCAGATGGGAGGTTGGGACTGAGAACAATATAATCCAGATAGGCACAGCACTGGGACTTAGTAAAATGTAGTGCAATCTAATGGGAGAGTCTGGAGACATGAGGTCTGTTTCTGGTTCCAACAATAATATCCTGAGTAGCCTTAGGGAATTTATATAACCCGTTTCTTTCAGCATCCCTTAATTCTTCTAGCAGTGGATGAGGATATTAAGAATGTGATTTTAAAACCAAGTTAAAAATTTGTCAACTTTTAGATTAGTCAGAATCACACAGAAAGTAGAATGGTGGTTGACAGGGACTGGGGGGAAGGATAAAATGGGAAATTATTGCTTAATGGGTATAGAGTTGTGGTTTTCCAAGATGAAAAGAGTTATGGAGATGGATGGTGGTGATAGTTGACAGCATTATTTAATAACACTGAAATGTACACTTAAAAATGGCTAAGGTGGCAAACTTTATGCTATGCTTATTTCACCACAATAAAAAAATTTGGGAAAAAAATCTGCATACTCTATGCCCCAGATAAGCCTCAATTTCTCTAGGCCAGGAGTGAATTTCACAGCAGTGAGCAGGTAGTCATTTACTTCCTCCTTTTCAGTTTTGGTACAGCACTGCAACCAGCAGCCCCAGAGGTAAGGGAACTTTACAGGCAGTAACTACCTAAAGTAGTCATTGGCATATTAGATCCCTTTTGTAAAGTGCTTTGAAGGCACTAGAAAATGTACCTGTAAACTTTTTTTTGGCAAAAATGACAGGGTGTAGGTGAAATCCATTAATAGCTTTCTGTTCTTCCCCTCTCCCTCAGTGGTAGAAGATAGGAAATTTGTGGACTGAATTGCTGTAACTGTAAGTGCTTAACTAGTTTAAGGAGATACAGTTTAAGAGAATATGTCAGATAGAGATGCATATATTAGCTGCTTCTTGACATGATTGGACTTTGTTTAGACTGTGTGTTTTTGAACCTTTTGTAGGTTAAAAGGCTTGGAACAAGTTACTAAGGCTACTATGCTTGGTCACCTTCTTCCAGTGTTACTGACCTCCCTGATGCATCCAAATTTACAGACTCTGATCATGGCCGATGCCCTGATGCCTCAGCTAGTGCAACTGGTTCTCTATACCAGCCAGGTATGATCCTTGGTGTGCCAAAGTGAACTGCTTTTCAGCCCAACCCACTTCACAGTATGGCTATTTGCTTTCACTGGAGCAGAATAAACATAATCCTGTTTTTCAGAGACTAAGGGAAATGATGATGCAATGAAGAAAAATATCATGTCATAAAAATAAACTAGAATATTAAGAGAAAACATTTTATTTGTTTGTTTGACTAAATTACTTACTGTAAACGTTCTTTTAGTATGTGTTCATTGCTGATCAACTGTAAAAATGCTAATATACAATGCTACTAAAATTACCATGATATTTCATCTCCTGAGTTCTTGCCAGCTAATAGGAACTAACATAAATGACGTGTTTCATTCCAGCATTAAGTAAAATGATGCCAAATGGTCTTAGTAACACAGCATTTCTTAGTAAGCAGGGCAAACTAGGATTTTTAAAAGATGATTCAAGTGAGAATTCTAAATTTGGCTCTTATACCATCCAGAAAACTGCCAGTAAGCACTATGAGACATGATGATGGCTTTGTGTTTCAGACGGCTTTGCTGCTTAAAACCCAGTGTCCAGTTTTTGCCGAGGTGGGCTGTTCCCCATGTGGTACATCAGACCAGAAATGCAGGCTGTTCCCTGATGAGAGGTAATGGATACTACTTCCTGTAGGAGTCCTTTTCTTGTTTTCTTCTGGTGAAAGCCTAGTTCTCCTTTTACAACATGGTTTTTAGCAAGGATTACCTAACTTGGAAAAGGGAAAAATTCAGGATCAAAATTTTAGATAACTGTGCAATTGCTTTGTAGACTGGTGGTCACTGATTAGAATAAATTTCCCCGTAGATCAAGAGATTAGTTCAAAATTGACCAGAAATTTTCATCTGCCAATGGTAGGTATGTAAATAAAATATTATGACTTTGGCAAGCAGTTTGACAGTGTCTTAAAAATTTAAACATACACCTTCTGTATGCCCCAGTTATTCCACTTTTAGGTATTTACACAAGAGAAAATTAAAGCACAGGCTTGAACAAAGACCTGTACGTTAAGGTTCATAGCAGTTGTAGTTAGAATAGCCCAAAACTGGAAACAACTCAAATGTTTATCAATAGGTGAATGGATAAATAAGTTGTGATGTATCCATACAAAAGGAATGAACTATTGTTATATGCAACAACATGTGTGAATCTCAGAATACTTAATGCTGAGTAAAAGAAAACAGGTCCCCTTAGGTCACATACTATAATTCTGTTTATATAAAACTCCAGAAAATCTAAACTAATCTCTAGTTCAGGCAGCAGATAAGTAGTCACCTGTGGGGAGGAATGGAGGGATAACTAAGAGGAAGAAGGAAACTTCATAGGTGTATACAAATGTCCAGACTTACCAAGTTGTACCCTTTAAATCTGGGCAATTTATTATATGTCAATTAGGTTTCATTAAAGCTGTCTTTTAAAAAACTTGATCAGAAAGGAAGGATATCCTGGGTTTCTCTAGAGCATTGTGCTCTTTAGAGAACTGAGATTTTTGCAGCAATGAAAACTTGTATCTGTGCTGCGAGTATTGTCAGCCTTAGCCACAGGTTATTACTGAACATTTGCAATAGAGCTAATGTGACTGCGGAACTGAATTTTTAAATTTTATTTCATGTAAATTTAATTTAATTGAAATGGTCCCATGTGACCAGTAGCTATCACATTGAATAGCACGGCTCTATTAGCTCAACCTGTAGAGTTGAAAGAATAAGGTAATACCATGGCAGCTAAGTTTAAGTCCTTGGAGTTTATATTCTACAGTCTCAGCCTCCTTGCAGTCCTTGAGAGTTCAATTATAGTAGATGAGAAAACCTTTGAGGGTACTTTTTTTTTAGTAAAAATAACAGCAAAAGTAGATACACAGGGTGATGGAATTTTCAACAATTGGCATGGAAATAGCAACAAAAGGAAATTTTACAGAGCATAATTGTGTGAGATTTGAAAAGTGGGGAATCTTTTTTTTTTTAATTTGAGTTGGTGTCTCACTCTGTTGTCCAGGCTGGAGTACAGTGGCATGATCACAGCTCACTGTTGCCTTGCACTCCTGGGCTCATGCAGTCCTCTTGCCTCAGCCCCCTGAGTAGCTAGATCTACAGGCATGTGCAACCACGCCCAGCTAATTATTTTATTTTATTATTATGTTTTGTAGAGACATGGTCTCACTATGTTACCCAGGGTGGGTCTCAAACTCTTGGCCTCAGGTGGTCTTCCCACCTCAGCCTCCCAAAGTGCTGGGATTACAGGTGTGAGCCACCAAGCCTGGCCTAGTTTTTGGCCTTTTTGTACCGATAGGTCTTGCTATTGCCCAAGCTGGTCTCAAACTCCTGTGCTCAAGCAGTCCTCCCATCTTGGCCTCCCAAAGTACTAGTATTACAGGTATGAGCCGTCATGCTCAGCCTAAATTGGGAATCTTAAAGATCCTTTATAGTTGCTGAGTGTGGTGGCTCATGCCTATAATCCCAGTACTTTGGGAGGCAGTGGTGAGAGGATTGCCTGAGCCCAGGGGTTCGGGACCAGCCTGGGCAACTTGGCAAGACCTCATCTCTAGCATAAATCAAAAAAGTAGCCAGGTGTGGAGGCACATACCTATAGTTCTAGCTACTTGGAAAGCTGAGGTGGAAGGATCGCCTGAGCCCAGCAGGTCGAGGCTGCGTTGACCATGAGCGTGCCACTGCACTCCAGCATGGGTGACAGAGTGAGACTCAACCTCAAAAAAAAAATAAATTAGCTGGGCATGGTGGCACATGCCTATATTTCCAGCTACTTAGAAGGCTAAGGCAGAAGAATTGCCTGAGCCCAGCAGGTCAAGGCTGTGGTGGCTACAAGCATACCACTGCACTCCAGCCTGGGTGACAGAGTGAGACTCCAACAAAAAAAGGACCTCCTCTTGACAAAAGAGGGAAAATGCAAATTTATCTGTTTCACATCCTGGAAGAAGATAAAATAAGAAACAAAAAAGTACAAATATAACGTCTAACAACAACAAAAAAACCTTAAATATAGGAATTTTTAAAATATTTCTGATTACCATTGATTCAAACATTTAACAACCCCAATGTTGTCATATTTGTGGAAAATTAAAGAGCATTCCCTTAACCTCTAGTATTTTACTGTGTTTACATTGTTTTTCCTTTCCTTGCTACTAAGCTAAATCACTTTTTCTTTTTCTGTTTTAGAATGCTGGAAGAGAAGGAAGAGCCAGGCTTTCTCACTGGTTTAAAGATTCCTGCCCCGTGGGCTGCTGGAAAGACTGTGGAAACGGTCCACCCTGTCAGAGACAACTACAAATTTAAAGAAACTGTCCATATCCCAGGAGCTCGCTGCCTGTATCTTAGATTTGATAGCAGATGCTCTTCACAGTATGATTATGACAAAGTAAGCAAGGGCTAGGTTGTTATTGGTTCCACCTCTAATAAGTTGATTCTTAGGTGCTTCTTTTTTTCTTTTTCTTTTTCTTTTTTTTTTTTTTTTTTTTGCTGCTGGTCACCATTCTTGACTTATTTCTGTCTGCAGATATCTCTAAGGAGAACTTTCCTAAGATAATGCCTTGGGGGGTAGTGTGATTGAGGTAGTTAAAGAAATACCACCTCTGAGGTCTAAGAACAATGTTCTAATGAAATGTTGAAAGTGTATTTTGTAAGCTTTCAAATGCTTAGATCTGAGTTGAAAGAAATGTTCCTTTTCATTCTGCTTACCCCCTGCCCTCCCTCTGTGCTTGAAATTCCTGCAGATGTGATGTCCATTCATCTAGAAAGGTCTCACTGCCCAGTTCTTGGGGCTTCTCATGTATCTTTTGGGAAAGGGTGGGTTTTTAGAAGGGTTTCAGATGTGCTAGGATCTGGTTAATATTTTTAAAATATTTGTTCTTCTTTGTTGTTACCCCAGGGCCAACATATATTTTGAGAAAGAGTAGTTTCCAACCTGGTGGTTTAACAGTTATAGATAAAAGGAAACATTTTAGGGGTTGAATTGTTTTTTTTCTATTTATTGTTGAATTATAAACCATCATGTTGAACTCATGAGAAAAGGCTAATTGAATTGGGATATGTAATGAAGAACGGTGGCGCCAGTGAGACTCAACACCCTTTGAGGCCAAGAGATTTATTAGAGCAGCAGCTACAGAGAGAGGGAAGAAGGTCTCTAACCGCCTGGTAGGGAAGGGGGAGTGAGAGAGCGATGGCGAGAGAGGTCTGTATTTATCGGTTTGGGAGGGGGTGGCCAGTGCCGTACTAGGGTCTTTATTGGAGGGGGCTATGAGGTAGTATTCCTATAGGGAGATAATATTTGTGTATAGGTTTAAGTTTCGCGGGGGTGGGAAAAGCAGGAGCTTAGGGCCTTTTGTTGTCTTTGTTTGGTTCCATATAGTGTTTAGCACCATCTCGGGAGACGCCCTTCTGACTGTTCTCTGTGCCTTTCATTCCCACCTTTTCTGTTTATTTGGGAGAGGGGCGTCGTTATTCTTTCTGGCTGCTTCCTGCTGGATTTGGGCGTTGTGGGGTGAGGTGGGGGAAGGGCACAGAACCAGCCAGAACAGGGCCCAGAGATAAGCGCTGAAGGTGAAAATTTCTGAAGGCGAGAGTTCTATAAAGGTCCCTTGTAGATGTAGAATGGTGACTTGTTCCGGCCACTCCTCCAGCGGGCACGAGGACGGTAGTAACCAGCTGCCTTGGAGTAGACTGTGGAGGTAGATAGAGAACCTGGAAGAGAACATATCTAAAAGAAAAAAGTGATGTTTAGGGACAAGGTGTTGACTCCTCTACTGGGACAGGTTGATAACTATTGAGTAATAGGAGGTTAAGGTTTTGATTTCAGAGTTCCATTAAGCGTTGTTGGAGAAATTTAAAGATACATGGGTCTATTAAACAAAAAACGCAAATTAAAATGACAGGGCCTAGGAGTGGGGCCAGCCAGGTGACAAAAGGGTGTTGCAACCAGATGAAGGGAGAAGAGTCTAGCTGTTGGCGGCGCTGTTTTAATTCATCATTTAGATGGTTGAGGACGTTTAGATTTTCTTCTACTAGGTCAGTTCTCGTTAGTGTAATAACAGCATTCTTCTCTGAGAAAGAGGCAAGTACCTCCCTTGTCGGCCGTTAGAAGATCTAAGGCTCGCCTATTTTGTAAGGTGACCTGGGCTAACGAGATGATTTGGCGTCGTAAGGAGGCTAGGGACGTTGCTGAGGCCTCTAATGCAAGTTGTAGTTTATTTGCTAAGTCTTGGGAGGAGGTAATGCTATATGCTAGAGCCCCACTGCCTAGGCCTACTGCTGCCAGAGCAGAGGCAAGAGAGACTCCTGCGATTACAGGAAGAAAGACTGCCCGTTTCTGGCGGGGGTGGGGTGACACTATCAGTGTTGCAGGTTTGTTTATTGTGTATTTTGTTGCAAATTCCCCTTGTGTGTATAGGGTCAACTGAGGTACCAGGGTGACCAGGACACATGATGACTT